GATTTAACTTTTGAGATAAAATAAGCCAATGTTAGCATTGGTCGAGATATGAATATCATTACTCTTAACAGCAATAAATCAATTTGAAATGTAGAAAAATAGGAAAGTTCAGTTCCTAAAAGCTTCTGGTAGACAAATAACAAATAGATTGATAAAACTGTGTTGTAATAGTTAAGCAATGACCACAATGAAAACACCAGCAATTAAAACTCTAAAATATTTTTTGAAAAAAAAAATGTGATCCTTCACAGACCTGAGAGTATCAAATATATGACATTGAGGTTCCATAGAGAAAAACTACAGGATAATTTAAAGAAAGGATTATAGGTTTTTCATGGAATGCAATCATGACATATAATCCAATACTCTAAATCCAAATTCAGATCAACTCAAAAAACATTCAGATTATAAATCAGTCAAGCAATAACTCTGTAACCCATTTTAGAAAAAAAAAATTTAAAAGGCTTGGAAAACTTGGAATGGAACTACCATTTAGCCCAGCTATCCCACTCCTCAGTTTATAGCCAAAGGACTTCAAAACAGCATAGTACAGTGACGCAGCCACATCAGTGTGATTCACATAGCAGCATTATTTACAATAGCTGACTTGTGGAATCAACCCAGATGTCCTTCAGTAGATGAATGGATAAAGAAACTGTGATTATATATACACAACGGACTATTACTCAACTTTGAAAGAGAATACAATTATGGCATTTGCAGGTAAATGGATGGAGTTGAAAAATATAATTCTAAGTGAAGTAAGCCAATTCCCCCAAAACAAATGCCAAATGTTTTCTCTGACATGAGGATGCTGATCCATAATGAGGATACAGGGGGAGCATGGGAGGAATGGAGGGACTTTAGGTAGGGCAAAGGGCAGGGAAGAAGGGAGAGGGCAGTGGGGTAGGAAAGATGGTGGAATGAGATAGACATCATTACCCTAAGTATATGTATGAAGATATGAATGGTGTGACTCTACTTCATGCACAACCAGAGAGCTGAAAAATTGTGCTGTATATGTGTATTATGAATTATAGTGCATTCTGCTGTTATATATAACAAATTAGAATAAATAAATAAATTTTAAAAAGAAATATTCCTCCTACTAAAATAAGACTATTTTTGAAACAAGAAATTATTATCAACTTGTTTCATGGGTCACATGTGATGAAGTATTTTTGTCGTTCTGTTAATTAGTGAGCCAAAGCAAATCAAAATATGTTTTTAAATTGTCTAAAATTCTTGTGCTTTATGATACTCAAATAAAATGCCTTTGTTTGGTATTATTGTGGCAAAAGATTACAGTTAGAAAAACCTATTTGTTTGTAATGGAACAGTACTGTAACAAGTTGTAGCATCCTCCCTTCAAATATTAGAGTAATAATTGCTAGAAATATTTATCAACTGATAAAACAAAACAGAAATGGGAGTATTAATTCTTCAATAAGACGAATACTTGAGAAATTGGTAAACCTTAATTTGTACATAAAATTAGCTAACAAGTATTTGTTAGATGTGATGTGTAAAATATCCTACTCTAAAAGGCATTAAAAGTGCAATGGTGGATAAGAAACATAAAGCATTTCTCTTTCTTCTTCTTCTTCTTCTTTTTTTTTTTTATACCAGAGATTGAACCCAGGGGTGCTTAACCACTGAGCCACATTCCCAGCCCTGTTTTTATATTTTATTTTGAGATGAAGTCTTCTTAAGTTGCTTATGGCCTTTCTAAGTTGCTGAGGCTGGCGTTGAACTCATGATCCTCTGCTTCAGCCTCTCAAGTCACTAAGATTACAGGTGTGTGCCACTACTCCCAGCTTAAAGCATATCTCTTATGGTGCTTATTTTCTAGTGGCAGAGACAGTCAGAAACTAAACAAATAAGAAAGTAGGGAGACCTGCTGTAAGAAAAATAAAACAGGGTGATATGAAGAGAACAAGAGAGTAAAACTATGGATTAAGTGGCCGGAGACATCCTTTAGGAGAAATGTACAAGGAGAAACAAAGAAACACAGTTTACAGAAGAAAATTAATTAGAAACCACTTCAATAGCTCTTGGTTTAGGGAATACTAGATCAATTATGATATGTCTATGTGATGAAGCAGGAATAAGGAAAGGCAAATATATAATATAATATAAAAATTTCCAAAACATATATTGAATTTAAAATTGAGGCATATTATAAGTAACATAACATGTATGTAAAAATTTGGTTGATATCTATAACTGCATATATATTTCAGTATGTTAATATATGTCAGAAATTATTCATGATAAAATGTAAGAAAGAGTGACTTTGGGGATATGGATGGGTGTAGAGATCCAAGGTGGTGATGATTAATTAATCTTTTTACCTTAACAGTGGGTTTTAAACTTTTATAAGTAAAATATTTGAATGAATTGCTTTTGTTATTAAAAATTAATTTAAAAAATTAAACAGGATGGAAACTTAATAAACTAAAATCAAAGCACAATTTCGAATCTCAACTTTATTATTGAGATCTTTAAGATATCATTTAAATCAACTCTTGTCTGTATTTTTCAAAAAGTAGTATTATGTCTCCACTATTAACTATATTTGAAGGATCTACAATACTGTTTAATACCGAACATGATCGGAACAGAAAAACAAATGTGAAAGAAGAAATAAAGTTGCCTTAACCTTCACTGTTGAAAAACTCACCCAGAAAAATAATTTGAATGATGAGACAATCTGATAAAAAGCAAGATGGGACAGAAGTTCTGTCACAAAGGAGAGCTTTTTGATTGTTTTCAGATACATCAAGGAAACACTAACTACATTGATCTCTTGAAATTATCTGCTTTGAAACACAGCTAAATACATCTCTTCTTTCAGGTGAGTTTTCTTCAAGGACAAGTGGAAAGTTGAGTTTTGTAAAACTACACATGTTCTTTGAGAGGGATAAGACCATGGTGAGGGGAAATGAGTGTGCTTGATTCTGAAGAATAACACTGACCTCAAGCACCAATAGTTTTTAAATTAAATTTAGCACATTACACTGTCTGTGAAAGGAAACTAACAGAAGGTGCAAAGCAGGCAACTGGGTCTTCTTATAGTGTCATTTGAACAGTCCTAAAGGACTTTGGGAATAATTAACCCATTCCCCTGTTTGTATCAATATACAACCACATTCTTCCTACTAAAAGATACCAAAACTAAGTCAAAGTTAGTTATTATTCATGGATATTAAATTAGCTATAATAAGGAGTTTTTCCTTGAGCAGAAAATATTCAATTAGATTTTTGTAGCATTTCACTTTTCCCTCAGCTATACAACACATCAAGAAGCATCTTAAAATATACACCAGTCTTCTCTAGCTAATGGTAGAAATGGCAAAGCCTGGGAGCATTTTTCTACCATAAATTTCTCTATGAGATTTCTAAAAAGAAGATAATCATGGCATCAGTAAGGGCAACCAGCTCATATTACTACCAGAACAAGTTGGGCATCTCTTTATGGTACTAGGTTCCTGGAGAAGAGGATCCATAAGACATCAGAACCTATAGTAAAAAACTGCTTAACATTATTGATTTGTCATCCCCATGAAGATAATTGTAGTTTAAATTATATCAGTATGATAGGACTGAGAAGAGTATCAGGGGTTTTGCCCTTTTCCTAGAAATTCTAAGCATGTTCCTCATCTAGACTCTGGGAGGGGAAGTGACTTCATAAAACCTCAGATGTAGAGCAAATCTGAGGGTTTTTTTGGGGAAGAACTCCAGAGAAAATTCTCAGAAAACACAGAGCTCGACAACATGGTGCTCTGACATAAAACACATGGTAGTGTTTACCTTAGGGATTGACTCATACTTGTCTCCTCTTCATGCAAAAGCAAAGAAAATAAAACAAAATAAACAAAACCTTCCCCCCAAAAAAGGCCAAAAGAATTTGGAAGCCACAGTAAACATATATGGTATTGAAGTCTTAGACTTAACTATGTTTTTTTTTTCCTGCTTTTTGAGACATTAAAATCTCTTAGAATTATCAATGAGATAAATATGAGTTTGACCAGATACATTGCAATTACTTGTACTGACAATTAAAAAATCATGAAAGAAGTACTCATTCTATTTAGTACAATTATTTTCTTTTGTCTTCATGAATTTGTAAAACGTATGAATAAAAATCAGATGATATCATTCATTGCTTTTATAAGAATGCAGTTTGGAAGGACCATATAAATATTGCTTTATTCTGATAATAGACACAAGGTCATGCAAGTAATGTTTGAGCTAAATGACCATAGAGATTGCTGTTTTATTCTGCAGTGCTAAGCTGAATTACTAGGACAAGATATTGAAATAGCATTTGAGCTTCTATAATTCTAAAATCTCAGAGCTTTTAAAAAAGCCCTCAATGAATTTACATTGCAATGTGCTTTACTCATTAGGTAATGCAATCCTTTCTTAAGAAGTAACTCAATGGCATCATCACACATTCATCACGCTGTCTTACAGATTCAAAGAGGAGAATGTTTTCTTTCTGTGTATAACTCACATCCTACTGACTTATCACATTCCTGTTAACTAGCAGGCAGCTGAAATAATTTAATGTGCTTTGAATATTTAGTTCAAAATAATGTAAGAAAACATATGTCACTTACGTTTTTGAGTCATCCCATAACACACAATAGGGATTCAAAGTACCCTAAAAATAAGCAGAGAAGTAATAAATATATTGTGAGTATACACATGAAAAATTAAAGTATTATTTGATATTATTATTTGAAATGATTAGCTGAAATTCAAATAGAATGGTGAATTTCTTATCTTGTGGTAAGATACTTTGAATATTCTACATCAATTTTTTTTTCATGAGAAATTTGCATTTCCTTTCTCACAGATTTGGTGACTCACTTTGTGAAATTCTAAGAAAATAACACATTTGTTTCAAATATAACCTGTATTTAGTTCTGTTAAAAATTGAAAGTGAAGCTACCATATTTTGATGCTTCTAACTCCATATTTATTTCTCTAAAATATTAATTTCTGGGTTATTTTCTTTAGGAAGACCAAAGTATTGATAATATTTACATCAAAGGAAAACATCCCCCTTTTTTTAGTTTATTTTTTATTAGTGCATATTGATTATATGGAATAATGGTTTCATTGTGACATATTAATATAGGTACATAACATTTTTGGTTATATTCACCCCACATTACATTCCTTTACCCTACTTTTCCCCTCCCCCTGTTTCCTTTCTCTTCTATGATACTTTCCTTTCTACTTTCATATCATCTTTTATTTTCTATATTCCACATATGAGAGAAAATGTGTGATATTTGTCAGAATTTCTGAGTCCGGCTTCTTTTGCTTAACATGATGATCTCTAGTTCCATACATTTTCCTGAAAATGACATAATATTTTTCATTTTTTGTAGCTGAATAATATTCCATCATGTTTATATTCCACATTTTCTTTTCCTATTTATCTTTTGGTGGACATCTGAGCTGATTCTATAACTTGGCTATTGTGAGTTGTGCTATTATAAACATGGGAATGCAGGTATCTCTATGGTATGCTGACTTTAATTCCTTTAGGGCTATACTGAGGAGTGGTATAGTTGGGTCATATGTTAGTTATATTTTTTAAGTTTTTTAGGAACTGCCATACTGATGGCCACAGTAGCTTCACTAATTTACAATCTCATCAATATTGTATAAGCTTTCTTTATCCATGAATCCTCATTAGCATTTATTGTGCTTCTATTCTTGATGATACCAATTTTGACTGCAGTAAGATGAAATCTCAGTGTGTTTTCTTAATTTATTTTAGATGTTGGTGGATATTTATTTATTTATTTATATGTGGCACTGAGAATAGAACCCAGTGCCTCACACATGCTAGGCAAATGCTCTGAGCCACAACTGCCCCTGCCCCAGTGTGTTTTTGATTTGCATTTCCCTGAAGGCTAAAGAATGCATCCTGTACTATACCTGTGTACACTCATCAGCATCACCTCCCTTTCAGCCTCTAGTTGCTTCTTCTAAGAAAGAGGTGATTGCATTAAGTTTCCATTTCCAGAGAGTTGGTTGACTTTCATTATCCTCTTAATCAAGGGATAATATTTGCATCAGATAGTGTTTAATGAATTTTTAAGGAAAAAAAAGTGCTAGATTTTTATTCTGTTGAATAATTTTATATTGAGTAGCCACCATCACTTTCAGGATGACACAGTGAGTTCTCCACACTTGTCTAGGGTTGTGTATTGATGAAAACTGATTTTTGGAAAAGTGTTTTTTCCTCTCTACTTGCTTACATTGATTGGATTTTATTTTGCCCCACCTTGAAAATAACTTAATTTTTTTCTTTAAGCAAAATCTCAGATTTGTACAAATTCTATCATACCCCTGAAGAGTCTTCTGTTATCCATTAAACATATTCTGTTGGTTCAAATTCTTTTATCTTCCATGCCCTTAATTTCCTGGAGCATATACTTTTAGAGTTCACTTAGGGTAATCATCTTCTGTGCCCACCCATGCAGAGAAGAGCAGTGCTACTGCCTATCCAATTTAGATGCCATATTCCCAACAATGCAAACTAGGATCACATAAGATATTTGGTATTTGCTTCCTGAGCTTAGCAGGCATTACTCATACATAGCAGTCTTTTGGGAGCTTTTAAAATTCTGATTTTGGCATCCCACACAGTCATAATTGCTTCCAAGCTTTGTGACATTACAGGATTAAAAGCAAACATGATTATCTGTGTCCTCATCCAACCAAACTGTTGATAAAAGTAATGAACAAGCCAGCACAATTTAAAAATAACAGTTTCCAAAAAGGTCACTGGCTCCCTTCTACAGGTAGACTTGCTCCACTGGTGCCACCAAGCTACCATCTAACCCTTAGGTTTCAGCTTTGCATATAAACAGATAGTTACTGGAGTGTGTCTGATAAAAGCAATCTCTCTAAAAATCTAGGTGGTATCTTTGCTGTGTGTTTCTAAGTGATATTGCCTGGATCCATTCTAAAAATTTGTTAGAAATAAAAAGTAAGCTTATTAATCTAAGTTTTATAAAACACATCTCAGTCTCATTATCTATTTTAATTGATGCCTTTGACTAACTCCAACATTGTAGTACCACAACTACTCTCCAGGTTCTTCTAAGACCATGTATCCAAAATTTCTTGGCTGTCAAATGCTCATACTTCTATGCTATGCCCCTAGAACGTTAAAAAAATTCTCTTCCCTGAAAAAAGTCACAGGCCTATAGAGATAGATAACTCACGTGAAATGATTATGTTACAACACAAGGGAAATAGAAACATCAGTAGTGATAGTTTCTTGCATAAAAGACAATGAGCCTGTGCTAGTCTGAGTTTATTTCATGGATGCTTTGGGTCCTTATCTGCTCTTCCAGAAAGCACAGATCCTGTGTTCATGGGATGAAGGAGAGAATGGTTCTTCAAACTGGTATCTTCTTCTACTTTATGAGATATTATCTAGATTAACCTGGATTTTTTTATATAGCTTGTGAATTTTTGATAAACTTTCAGCATAGTTAAAACACTGTATCATAATGTTATGTTGTAACCATCAAGGTTTTTATTCAACAGGGTCCAGAGCAATATCATTGGAATTCCACGATGAAGGGTGTGGGTGTGCACATTTCATGGCTTTAGAAACCAAATGTAGGTGAGAAATCTGAGATAAGAGACCTCTGAATCTAATGCATTGATTTTGCTAATCTAAGAGTGAGTTTAAGATAAATCTCTACATAAAACAATTCTGGATACTGCTTATATGCTTATTATTTTATAAGTATTATTCACAACATGTTACGACAAAAATCTAGTAACATTAGAAAATAAACATAATATAAACTAAAAATTTGGATATCTTTTCCTTTTGACTCCCCTAAAAAATTTCAAATGAAAACATAAAGATGAGAAATGCTTCTTTTATTCCACACCTTGGTCAATATTCATTTTTTTCCTTCACCTTCTTTACCCCTTACTTCTTAACCCATTGCATGCTTCTCTCTCTTCCTGTTCTTATGAAAATTCAAAAACTCCATTCACCTTAGAGTTATTATGCATTCCAAATGCACCATTCAATCTTGGGGTATACATACTGGGATGCACAAAACAGTCAGATACTCCTCTGTGGATATTTATCCTAGAATAACCACAATGCACAGGCTTGTGATGAGATGAGGTCTATAAGTTAAACATTTGAAGTTTAGACAAATAGGCAGGACAAAAAATTAGAGAAATCTTAGTTCCTGGAAGACCAATTACTTCATAAGAATTGGAAATGGAAAATATAAAGCAAAAACCAATAATGAATGAACTCTAACCTTATGAAAATACATATATACTGGCTAAATGGTTC